TATTTTGGAGTATCTCTACTCTAACCACTCCAGAAACACACCCTGTGATTCTATCATCTGTGGAAGACCATCTCCAAACCCAGACGCCTACACTGGGGACGCAGCACAACCGAGACCTGTGGCTTCCACAGGACCAGGGCTTTCCTCTTCTCTCAGAATCCACAGTCGCAAGTCCAGCCCCATGCAGTGCAGCAACGAAGGGACAGCGACACTGCGCTGGCTTTCTGACCCAGTGTTCTCACACACAAATAAAACAGCAATTCCTAAGACCGGCTAGGCTGGTCTGTCCTTCTATGATACCGCCCCATTCCTACCTGCCCCCAACCCCTGGTCACCACTCTAAACTCCGGTCCCTATACATTTGCATATCATAGCTATCTCAGATGAGTGGGATCATACAGTATTTGCCCTCATGTGTCTGGCTTATTTCACTCAGCATGTTTCCAGGTTCATGCATGTTGTGACATGTGTTAAGACTTCATATATCTTTATGGCTGAGTGATATTACGTTGCACGTAGAGTCCTTGGATGGTGTAAACACTTAAGTACTCAGCTACTAGCTAACCAAAAGTCTGACAGGTCAAGTCTATGCAAAGTTGTCTGGGAAGAAAGACCTGGTAATTTACTTCTGAAATTTACACTTTACACTGAAGAACAGGTCTACTCTGACACAACTGGGATTGCCGTAAGTCAGAATCGACTCCACAGAAACTACTTTGGTTGGTTTGTTTGCTTTTTGGTATCTAGGTTGTTGTCGCTAAGTGCCATCGAGTCAGTTCCAACCCATAGCGATCCTGAACAGAGTTTGAGTTGGTTCCGACCCATAGCGACCCTGAACAGGGTTTCCGAGGCTGTAAATCTTTATGGGAGCAGAAAGCCTCATCTTTCTCCTGCGGAGCAGCTGGTGACCTTGCGATTCACAGCCCGATTCATAACCACTACACTACCAGAGGTATCTAGGTATGTATTGCTTAATGTCTACAACATGTCCTGTGTAATCGGATGTTACGTGATTTGGACAATGTATGAGCCCCATATTACAACCTGATGAGAGCCCACTTCCAGCTGTCCGTGTCGCTACTGCTGCTGGTGAGGTCCAGACGGAAGGGGTGGGAGCAGAGCAAGAGGAAGTCATCCGGGAGGGAGCAGGATAAACCACTGAGTAGGAGTCATGGCCTGGGACCCCAGCCTCCACCACACCGGTGGGCACATTGAGCAGGTTGAGTCCCTGCTTTCAAGCCTTTGGAGTATGCATCTAGGTCCAACAGTGGCCTTTTGGAAACAGCACGAGATGCCTAGGCAGTACCTCCTTTCTGACTGTGCACTGGACAACTCAGTTTGAGGAAAAACTCATCTTAGACTCCGTGAGTTTTGTTTTGAATTTTCTTCTTATCTTTTGAATGTTTCTTCTTCACCATGAAGGCAACAGTCTGGGTGTGGAGGTGTCTGTGATGCTCCACGGCTGCCACTACATAGCTGACCAATCCCAGCTATCCTGGGTTTGCCTGAACATGCCAGAGTTGCTGCTCTTACAGATGAAACGTTGAGTCAGATAACGTACCAGTAATGATCTTCAACTCATCAGTCTTGGAGAAAGGACCATCACAAGGGAAACCTGGGCACATCAGGAGGGGGAGGCCATTCAAGCCACAGCATCAGCCACTGTGAACTCCCCTAGACAAAACTGGTGGGAACATGGGCTGAGGTCCCCTGGGGAGGTGGCATGTCCCTGCTGCCCTCTGTAAGCCAGGAAGGGTGACTTTCTCAAAGATGGATCCTAAGGACCAAATGGGCACTGATGGACGTGTAAGGGCCGAGGCAGAAAAAACGACCTGGCTCAGATATCGATGTTCACAGTTCTCAGAATGGGAGCAGCAGCGCAGAATAGGAAAAGAGTACATGGTAACAGGCATCCCTGAGTGGTACAACCAGTTCAGCACTCGACTATTCAACCCCTCCAGAGGTACCTGGGCCATCCGATCTGCTACATGAAAGCCTCATGGAGCAGTTCCACTCTGCACATGCGATCACCATGATTCGGAATCAACTGGATGGCAACTCACAATACAGAGTGACACCAAGTGCTTGTTTTCAGGATAGCTATCGATGGCAAAAATGTTAAGCCCCGAAAATTCCATTACAAAGAAATGATGTGTATTCAGTTGCCTGTCTGTCTTTTTACGTCTGTGGGCATCTTGCATATTACGCCCTGAATGCTGGGAAGGCTTGCAACAAACCTACCCACTGAGGTTGGGAACCTACAGACTCCCAGGCTGGGCTCTGAGACAGGCTCCTGATGTTCCCCAGGCAAATGTAGACAGCAGAAAGCTGTACAATGAAATCAATAATTCATTTCCCCAAATCCATAGATGCATTAGGGAAATGTCTATTCATAGATGCATTAGGGAAATGTCAGCAACAGACAAGTAATAAACTCTGTCCCTGCTGACAGTCAGCAAAATGGCTCCTGATCAATGCCTGAAAATTGTGAATCTCCCCAAAAAGCTGGCCCCAGACAATTTACCTGCCTTCTTAGGACAGAGAACAGGACAAAGAGGCCAGAGCAACAAAGAACAGGTAAACATCTACTGATTCTAACCCAGGGAGCTACTAAACAAAGGGAATGGGAAATTACGACTGCCGAGGTGGGAGACTCACCCTGCCCCTGCCCCTGCCCCAGAAGCAACAACATGGTGAGACACAGCTGTTCCTAAGTCTGCCCTGCATCTACTGTGCAACATACCTGATTGGGGGCCTTCCCCGCCAATCTCAGCCCATGTGCCTCACAAGAGGCTGACCCTGTCCATGCCTAGAGCACTTCACACCTCTGACCATCTCGGGTTGGACACATGACCCAGTGAAGCCACAGAGCTAGGCCCAGTAGTTTTATGGGAACTGTTGAGAAAGACGTTGAAAAGGGCATAAACCTAGTGCTGTTTGGGGACCATCCCGCCATGGATGAGATGAGACAAAAAGAAAGAGACTAGGGAGACAGCAAGGACAGATGCCTCTTTCAAACACCTGGGACCAAGAGTGCTGGAAATGAAGGGCATTTTCATCATATAAGTAATACTGTCCACTTGACTTACATCAGTCTCAGGAGGGTTTCTATCAATTGGAACTGAAAAATATCCTACTTAAAATTTCCCTTCCCCAACCAATAAAATCTGATGGTTTATTGTTATTATTAAGTGCCGTTGAGTTGATTCCGACCCATAGCCACCCTGTATAGGGTTTCCAAGGAACAGCTGGTGAGCTTGAACCACCGACCTTGCAGTTCAAATGACTTTGCAGTCTGACCCATTAGCCCACAGCGCACCCCAGGATGGTTTATTACGTCTCCCTTATTAGTCAAGCTTCAAACATCCTACTCAGCATGTTTTTGCTTATTCTATCCATTTACTTTTGTGATTTGTTCACACCAGGATGCACCTTGGTGAAAGACAGGCTAGATAATGCTTCTCTCTGAGTTCTGGCCACCAGTCCCCTGGCAGGACCCGATTGCAGTGTGGCTCTCAGAGAGGAAATCCAACAAGGCCCCTGGGGATTGGTCCAGGACCACCCTGTGTCAGCAGACACTTCTCCACAGACTGCTATGCCTCCAACAGATATCACCCTAATCCTCACTGAGGGCAGTGAGGGCCCTGCCGAGAGCCCGAGGACTCAGGTCTCCCATCCAGAAAAGGTGGGGCTGGCCAAGAACTGCAATGTGAACCACGAGCATCCACCACTCAAATAGTCTGTCCTCTAATGGACATCAAAGTATCCCAGGACATCCTGATAATCCTAGGGCCAAGCAGGGATCAGAAGATTACCGAGGTGGTTTATAGGGAGTGCTCAACTCTGGACTCCATCCCTACGCTGCTCTTAACCAGAATAGTAGACCCTGGCCTCTTCGATCATCCACAGGTTTAGTAACTCTCCCAGGAAGCAAAGCTTGTTCACATCTATGATCAGTTTATACTTCCAACAGTCCTGGGAGAGAAGGGGTACTGTGTCTGCCTCACATGGTTCGGTGGGAAAGACAAGGGTCTGAAGCCACATACATCTAGCTTTGCCCCCTGCCTGCCAGGAGCCCACCTCCAGGCTTCAAGCTCTTTTCTGTAAAACTGGTAAATAGTAATTGCTGTACAACGTTACTGTGAGTACTGAACAGCCACAAAGAACTCAGCTCTGTGTCGGGCAGGCAGTGGCGCCGCAAATAAACATTGGCTACTGTTATCATTCTTACAAGTGGGGAGGAGCCTGGAGTCTCTAAAATCCCTTCCATTGTAAATTAGTCTCTCTCAGATCTGGGCCTCTCACAGTCCTCATGAAGCATGACAGTTGCCAGAAATAAGGTACCACCTCAACCAAAGACAGCTAACAACCCGTGGGGAGCATGGAAGGGGTCACATGAAGGAGGAGTCCGCTCTGCTGACCCACAGGCCTCCCACGAATGCTGGATACGCTGTCTGCCTTACTTAGCACCCAGTCTCTTTTAGGGCCTTGCGCTTTTTCATCTGAGATGGTTATCCTGAGTTCAAATCAACAGCTTGAGAAACAGAATTGCCTCCCCTAAATAAAGTACCATGCTAATCTTTTGGGAGAGACACAGCTCTTCAAAGCTAAGCCAGCAAAGATGTGTAGAGACAGAGCCTGGGATGTTATAAAACAAAGTGAAAGACAGATAGATTCGGATTTCCGAGGCTCCATTTTCTAACCCTGCAACTCCTCTAAGTGAAGTCTGCTCATCTGTAAACATAGTACCTAATTCTTCCGATTCAGTAAGGAGACAGTGCCCAGGACACAGCAGCCACCAGGTAGACTAAGGCCCAGCTTTCCCTACCCCTTATACTCACTGATCTGAATGAGTCAGGCGCCTCCTCTCTCTGCCTGGGATCCTGGCCAGGCCAGGCCAATGGTTGTTTTCTGCTTTGTCACAAAGTCACGGGGACTCTGCAAAGGCCGCCATGCTCCTGCACTGCTGACCATGAAGGAGGACAGACACATGTCCTTACCGGTAGGTGGCCACCTCCAGACTCAGGCCGGTCTTCACTTGCACAAGCTTCTGGCAGTCCCGCAGCCGGTCATTCATGGCCATGGTGAGGGTGGCCTTCTCATCCTCGAGGCCATCTATCACTCTCTAAAGAAAAAACAGGGGCATTAGAGTCTTGTCAATTTGCCTTAATTATTACGACTTATGTGTTGCTGTGATTCTGAAAGATATGCCAATGTTAATTTAAATACCAGCAAGGTCACCATGGTGGACAGGTTTCAGTAGAGTTTCCAGACAAAGACAGACTAAAGAACACAAAATACGCACTTCATTTCTGAAGGATTAGCCCTAAAAATCTTTTGAATAGCTGTGGAACTTGTCTGATATAGTGCCAGAAGATGAACCTCTCAGGTTGGAAGGCACTCAAAATAATGACTGGAGAGCTGCCTCCTCAATACAGAGCTGGCCTAATGATGGAAACAGAGCCAAGCTTTTGGGACCTTCATTTTCTGATGGGACATAATTCATGACGAGAAGAAATAGCAGCACATATCCATTAATAATAGGAATGTGAAACGTACAAAGTATGAACCTAGGAACATTGGAAGTTGTCAAAAGTATAATGTAATACATAAAGACTCATATCCTAGGCACTGATAAGCTAAAATGGACTTTCATTATTCATTTTGAGTCCAACAATCATATGGTTTACTATGACAAATTGAAGAGGACTGATGTTGCATTCATCATCAAAAAGAACATTTCAAGATCTATCTTGAAGTACAATGCTATCTGTGATATGATAAAAATCCATCTGCCTACAAAGACCAGGAGCTCTGGTATTGTAGTGGTTACAAATCGGGCTGCTAATCTCATGGTCAGCAGTTTGAAACTACCAGCTGATCCACGGAGAAAGATGAGGTTTTCTACTCCCATAAAGATTTACCGCCTCAGAAACCCTATGCAGGGTTGCTGTGAGTCAGAACCGACTCCACGTCACATAACAATAAGGAAGACCAGTTAATACTACTATTACTCAAATTTATACATGAACTACTAAAGCCAGTGATGAAATTGACCAAACATGTGATCAAAATTGATTAAGAATTACTGGTGATTGGAATGTGAAAAGTTAGAAACAAAGAGGAAGGATCAGTAGTTGGAAAATATGGCTTTGGTGATAAAAATAATTCTATCTTGCTGGAGATTATGTGATGGAATTTTACAAGACCAAGAACTTATTCATTGTAAATACCCTTTTCAACAACATAAAACTAATACACAGGAATCAATTTGACTACATCTGCTAGAAAAAACAATGGAAGTTGAATATCATCAGCCAAAACAAGGCGAGGGGCTGACTGCGGAACAGACTAACGCTTGTCCATATGCAAGTTTAGGCTGAAGCTGAAGAAAATTTAAACAAGTCCACAAAAGTCAAAATATGATCTTTAGTAAATCTCACCTGCATTTAGAGACCATCTCAAGAACAGATTTGATACATTAGACACGAATGACGGAAGATCAGAAGAGTTGTGGGATGACCTCAGAAACATCATAAAGGAGGTGGGGCTTGATGGCAGATAGGGTAGAGGTGCAGTGAAGATCTCTGTCAGCAATAACACAGAACAGCAGGCAAAGCGGGTTCAGGAGAGAGCTCCAAAACTCTGAACCACATATGAAGGAATATTTTTAAAGTTTGAAGGCGTATAGCTAGTGGAACTTGTAGCAGAAGCAAGAAATCTCATACTTTTGAACCTGACAGGCTAAGCGGCCTGGAGCCAACAACCTGGGCGAGCCCAAACAGCAAGACCAAGTGGGGGAGCAAGCAGACCTGCCACAGACTATTGCCTGTGTGAGCCCTGGACAAAAAAGTAGACAATATTTTTTGTTTTGTTTTGCTCTAATTATTTTGGTATTTGTTCAATGACCTCTCACTGTCTGCACACCTCCATTCTGGTGACTCGAGTGGGGGTGCCTGAGCAAGCGGACAGCCTCCCACCCCCACCACTGGAGGGTTCTTCTACCACGCATGCGCACAGATCCTCTCAGCATTTAAAGGGACAGTCCCCACTTAAAACCAAATGACAGTGCAAAAGAGCCATAGCTGGCCCTGAACTGTTTATCAATAGGGAAAAGGCCAGAAGAGGGGTTGTGGAGTGGGAGAGAGACTAAAAACAAAACAGGCTAAATTAAACCCTGAGGTACAGCATAACAACCAACAGTGGCATCTTGATATTTATCAGGCAACCTTGAAGGCAAGAAGCTGAAAGAGGACATTAAGGTGTGA